TTGGGTTTTGTTGCTGTTCTTTTTCAATTTGTTGGAGATGGTGGGTTAGAGAGTCAATGGTCATTTTTTCCTGTCTTTTAATGTATTTTCCTACTGCTGTAAATTGACTCCTATTGCTGCTTTTGGTGTTTTCATTGTCATTTGTTTCAAGAAACATTTTCATTTGCTTTTTTACTTCTTCTAGTACTCACTCATGTTCAAGTAAAGTGTTGTTCAGCCTCTAAATGTATAAGTTTTTCTCCTTTATCCTCTTGTTATTAATTTCTACTTTTGTAGCATTGTAGTCTTTGAAAATATTCTTTTTAATATTTCTATATTTTTTTTAAATTTATTGATGCATACCTTGCAACCTAAAATGTGATTTATTCTGGAAAATGTTCTATGAACATTGGAGAAGAAGGTATACTATGTTCTTTTGGGGTGCATTAGCTTAAGTATCTATGAAATCAATTTGATTTATTGTGTGGTTGAATTCCACTGCATCTTTTTTGAATTTCTTTCTGATAGTTCTATTTTTTCTTAAGAGTGGTGTATTGAAGTCTCCAACTACTATAGTGGTGTGGTCTATTTCCTTTTTCAGTTTTGTTAATGTTTGTTTTATATATTTTACAGCTATATAATTTGGTGCATAGAAAAATTATTATTGTTGTGTCCTCTTGTTCTAGTGACCCTTTAAGTGTTATGTAGTGACCATCCTTTCCTTTGTGATGGTTTTTGCATTGAAATTTATTTTATCAGAAATTAATATCACTATTCCTGCTTTTTTCCAGTTTCCATGTGCTTGGTATATTTTCCCCCACCCTTTTATTTTTAGTCTTTCTGTATCTAAATTTTTCAAGTGTGTATCTTGTAGTCATCATATTGATGGATTTGGGTTGTGTTTTTTTTTTTTATCCATTCTGCTACTCTTTTTCTCTTCAGTGATGCATTTTAACCATCCATATTCAGTGTAATTATTGAGAAGTAATATTTTATTACTATTATTTTGTTGAGTTCTTTTTTTGGTATTGTTGCTAGTTACTTTGGTCCATACTGCTTTCTGTGGCACTTCTGTAACGACGTCTCTCAGTATTTCCTGCAACGCTAGTCTTGTTTTTACAAACTCCATTAGGTTCTGTTTTTCTGAGAATACCTTGATCTCTCCTCCATATTTGATGGATAGTTTTTTTGGGTACAATATTCTTGGTTGACAGTTGTGTTCTTTGAGTGTTAGATATATGTCATTCCACTGTCTTCTTACTTACATGGTTTCTGCTGAGAAATTGACACTTAATCTTGTTTGGTTTCCCTTATAGGTTACTCTTTGTTTTTCCCTCACTGCTTTCAGAATTCTCTCCTTATCTTTGGTTCTGGCAAATTTGACTATGATATGCCTTGATGTTTTTCTTTTGGGGTCTATTCTATATGGTGTTTGCTCAGCTTCTTGAATTTATATTCTCTCGTTCTTCATTAGGCTTGGAAAGTTTTCTTCTAGTAATTCTTCCACAACTTTTTCAGTGCCTTTACTTGCATCTTCCTGTTTGGTATTCTGATGATGTGCATATTATTTCTCTTGATGTTGTCACCCATTATTCTTAGGTTTTCTTCTTTTTCCTTCTGATTCTGCTTTTTGTTCTAGCAGATCAGTGGTGACTATTTTATCTTTTATGTCACTGGTTCTGTGTTCCATCTCTTCAACTCTGTTTATGTGTCCCTCCACCATACTGAGAGCATCTGAAACACTGGACCTCATATTTTGAAGTGTGATTTCTTGTTTTTCCAGAGCCTCAAATGCCTCATTTGTTTTATCTGCATTGTTTTGAATTGTTTTTTTCAAGCTCCTACTGGTTTTTGCTTGCATTTTCCTGTAATTCTTCAAGTTTGTTTTTCACCAATTGAAAATAATACTTGTTCCTTTAAATTCGGTGTCAGAAAGTTTTCTCAGACTTTTTGGCTTCAGAAACTCCACTGATACTGTGTCACTTTTGGGGTGACATTTTTCTTTGGGTTTGTGTAGGTTGTGAAGTAGCCTGCTTCCTACGTGCCATTGTTTTGGTAGAGTTTTTCATACCTGAGGTGATAGCAGGTTCTTGATCTCACATCACTGTTCCAGAACTGGGTGGGGCAGCTACCCTGCCTGGGTTACTCTCTGCCTTTTTACCTAGAGGAGGATCTGCTTCTGTTTGGTGGATAAAAGCTCTGAGAAAGCAGCATCTTCTGTCAGAAAACTGCTACATCTAGAACAGTCCAAGGTGCTACGGGCTACAGGCAGTTAATGGACTGGACATGAGGAGACTTAAGGCAGCAAGGAGACCTGACTGGAAAACCAGGAAGCCTTGGTTTTCCCTTCAAGGATGAGATTCAGCTGTCTTTCTCCCTTCTGTTGAGCTTAAGGGGTCCACGTGATCCAGCCAAGCAGCAGTGACCTCCCGCAAGTCAACTCACTCAAGTTCCAGGGTCACTCCTGGCATACTTTGCTCCCAGCATGGTGTCAATTCCAGTGAGGTGTCTCTCTAAGTGCAAGGCATCACTCACTCCTTCCTCATCAATATACTTCTTTTGCCTCTGTGTCTCTGGAACCTTTCCTTTCTTAGTGGTTTCCTTGTTTGTTTGTTGTTTTTTTTTATTTCTATCATTTGCACCTTCTTCTGTAGCTTTCAAATAACTCTTCATCAATGTATTTTTTTTTCTCATTCCCTACCTCTGTGTTATTCCCTTTATTTGTGACTTCCATTGTTTCTTCCATCATTTGTATTTCATTTGTAGTTGTTCAGATGTCTCCATATCAACATATATCATCTGCCTTCATGACTCTGGGGTATTCATGAGGTCTCTCATATTCTCTATTATTTTTAGAGAAGGCTAAATTTTTTTTCACAGTGTTTGAAGCTTCTTGCTGCTTTCTTGACATTATATGTTTGTTGATAAGTGTCAGGTCATTTCTATTGTGTCTGCAAAAAGTTATTGTTGGTTCTTGCCTTTATAATGTTACTGATTAGTTGCCAACTTAAAAGTTTCCATCTATTGGGTGAGCTACTTACTCTACTGAAAGTCATTTCTGGGAAATGTGCCTTTCCTAAAGTCATTGAGATTCTCTCTGTTCTGCATTAGAGGTCTGTAGGAATCTCACCTTGATGTAGTACCTTGACACTAACTCTATAGGCCTCCTTCATGTATGAAGTGGCTGAGTGATGTAAGACCAGGTGTTCTACTCCAGCAGTTTCATGTGCACCTTTTCTCTTGGAGCTTAATGTCTTAATTCAAGAGTGGTACAAGATTAGAGATCAAGGCTGTTAGCTCAAGAAGCTTGTGTGCAGGGGATCGGAAGTTAGCCCTCTATCATAGTGAGCTGTTTAGTGCTCTGTATACTAAAGTCTCTTGTCTTCTTTGATCCCTCGGATGGCCCATAGTTGTGGAGGCAAGGAACCCCCTATAGAGGAACTATAACACCAGGGTTGCTTCAGTCCTATCTCCCCATAAATAATGGAGAGTCCTGTCTCCCCATAATCTCACTCTTGTCACAGAGCCTCACCTCTCTCAACTTTTCTCCTTCAGCTTAGTGTCTTCCTTTGTCTCTGGTATGACGGGAGATCAAGACTACCAGTTCAGGCAGCTTGTACACAGAGGCTTTACACAGAGGCTTTCAAGTCAGCCTTCTATCACTTCTTGAAGTTCTGTATTCTAAAGTCTCTTGTCCTGCTTGGCTCCTAGGAAGTCCCCATATCCACGGAGGCAAGGATCTCCAGCTGGAGGAAACTATAACTCCAGGAATACCTCAATCCCATCTCCACATGAATCTATTTGACATCACTTTTTCTGTAATCTTATGTAGTAGACACAACACTGTAGGAACAACAGAACAGACCTCATTGCTGTTAGGTTGGAATTACCAAATAGTTGACCATCTGTTGAATTTCAAGGCCATAAATCACAGTAAGGGAAATTACCTAACTCCCTTTGAACAACATTATGAACTTCTTTATGTAGAGTTATAAACAAGGAAGTCTGTGGCTTATGGAAGTTGACTACATTGCTCAAAGTCAGAAATAAATAGTATCTAAAAATGCAAATCTACTGAATTTAGGAAACTTCCTCTTCACTGATATATGTTGACAATAAATATTGACATAATAAATAAGTGAAGTTTTCTTTATTTTGCAAATAAAGTTGGATCTTCAAGAGGGGAAAGGATGAAGAAGAAAAGAGACATGGTGGTAAAATAAGGCAACTGCTTTATAACTGTATAACTGTAAGGAAAAATATCTTAGTGCTGGTCAGAGGCTGATTGAATAGATTTTTCTAGCCTTACATCATTCTGGGTCTCATTAGAATTTCTGGTGATTATTATCAAGTTTTATTTCCTCATGTTCAGGTGTGTGTTCAGAGTTATGAACTTCCCCGTGTGTGCCCACTCTTACCACTACTTCCACTGAAACAATATGACCTAAATAACGTCAGATAATTTGACCCAAAATGCTTTGACTAATTTCCTATAATAGTGAATGCACCATTTTTTTTGTAAGGCATTTAGCAATTTTAAAAGTATTTCCACATAGCGCTGGTGGCCTAGTAGCAAGAAACTGCTATGCAATCCTGAAGGCGTGCAGTTTGAGGCCATTAGCTGCTCCTCAGGAGAAGGTTGGGCAATCTCATCCTGTGGGATTAACTGCCTCTGAAAGCTGGAGGGTTTACTATGCGTCAGTTCTGACAGTATCTGTATTTTTAAATTATGGTAAAAAAATATGCAACAAAATATTTCTATTTTACAAGTAATTACAATTGTAATTTAGTGATATTAATTATATTCATCATGCAGTTCTACCATCACTATTGTCTGTTACCAAGTTTTTCCCCATTCAATATATCTTACACTAACCTTTGATTCACCAAAAGAAAGTATAAGAATTCCTGTTTTATAAATGAACAAACTCTAAAGTCAGCCCCATTTAATCTATTTTGTGAGACTCTAATATTGCTGATAAATATTGTCTTCTCCCAGACCCCAATAAGCACCTGTCAATATGAGATCCAAACCAACTGCAACTATACTGTACCACATCTATTCAAAAGAGTTAATGATTTATTTTACCTTCTCAGATGTCTGTCAAGGTCCACATTGGCATCATTTTGCTATAAAAATTGGCTGTGCTGTGATTATTTTATTTGTCTTGGCTGTGATAGGCATGAGTGTTGCAGGTAAGTTCTGTAAAATAAATTATTTCAGAATATTTACTCCAATTTCATCTTTAGTTGAGCATCTTAATATAATTTCTCCACTTCAAATTTAGCAAAAGATCAAGGAAGTAAAAAATAGAAACAAAACAATACTTCTGTGATTCATCAAATATTCACTCTATGTTCCATGTTTCAATGGTCATCATGTGTTATTTCACATGTGTTTCAAAATAATAAAAAACAAACAGAATATGATGACAAGAAGATGAACATAATGATTATTGAGGTTTTACAGTTTATTGAATACCTGCTATATTCCAGATTTCATTAAGCAGTCTCTGCCTTGAGGTAATCATAATTATACTCAATCTGAGATGAGAAAGTTTTGGTAACAGTGTAATGAATTTAAAAGTTTGGGTCTCTTAATTTTACTTATCTAGTAGGTAACTTATAGTATCTCCACATCCATTGTTATTTTCTTGTTTGTTGATAATTGCCTAACTAGGCCCTTTTTAGGTCAAATTGCTATTGCCTTTATCTAATGTCCATATTCAAGGTTACTAAGGTAATTTCATTTCCCCTTGAGTTTAAAAGTTGAGCTGTAATTTTATCATTCACATTTGATCTATCTTCTAGTTTTAGGGGGAAACATAGAGAAGTGATCAATATAATCTTTTCATTCAGTCACCTATTTCATCATTTAATCTTTTCAATTATTTTTCTTTATTTCCTAGGGAGCCTTTTAAATAAAAACTTATCAGTAGAAAAAAATAGTGTGAATGTTCAAGAAAACAAGAGTATTCAAGGGAGGAAATATGAAACAACAGGTAATTTTGTGGCTTGACTTTCCTAAGAATAGTAGCTAATATTTAACTAATTTCATTTTATAATATTTAAGATATACAACAATGTCATATATTAATATAATGCTATTTTCATCTTAATTTAATATTTCAGAAAATTGAAGCTTAGAAATTTTAAGTAACTTTCTCAAAACAACATAACTAGTAAGGGGTGATGTTAGGAGCTGTGTTTAGGTAATCTTACTGCTTCATGGAAAGTTGCTGCTGAGACACTCAATAGAAATAATGAACAGTAGCTATTGCTGCCAGTTTAGGGCCTGTGTCAGGAAAAGGAAGTCTTACTCATATACAGTGCCACCCAAAGGTAATAAAGGAGGTCAGAATTTCTTCCACTGTGGAAAGCTGGGCCACTTCAGTAGACAGTGTCACAGATGAGAGCCACAGATAAGCAAGGGAGTAGAGAGGAAGCTCCCACTCAGTTGCTTTAAGTGTGGCTCTGAAGGACACTTGGCCAAGGCTGGCCCACATCAGGTCTTCGTGGCTGACAGGCCCCAGTTCTCAGCTGGAAACAAAGGAGAACACTTCAATGATTTAGATCCTCCCAGAAGAGCTGTGGGTGAGAATTAACTTTACTGGTAAGTATATTCGTTTTCTCCTGGACACAAGATTTGGTCCTAAAAGCCTTCTGAGGTCCTAACTCTTCTCACTCTTTCTTAGTTGTTGGAATTGACGGAAAACCTCATAAGCAGTTCCTTACTTCACCTCTGCCTTGCATGCTGACTTCCAAGCTGTAAAACAACCCAGTGCTAGATGGAATTTGCTACAGGACTTAAGAACAATAAATGACATAGTTGAGCCTCTACATCTTGGTTCCTAACCTTTATACTATAATAGACAAAGTGCTAGTCAATAGGCCTTTTATTTTAAGAACTACTTTCCCTCTCTAACTTGATTTGTGCCACTATTAGCGCCTCTACCTAGAACATTATTGCTTTTTAATTCTTGACTCATGTACTTTTAACTTGTTAGTTAAATTTATGTCTTCTAGCCTGCAACACTTCCATGATACATCTTCAGGGATATGAACATGTGCATCTAAATTCCAAAATCAATCTCCATAACAGTCTATGTGTTCCCTATTGCCAAAGGGGCCCTTTACAGTAGTGAGAGAAGATCTTCACCCTGAAACCTAAAGCGTCCCTTTTCAGCAGGAAGTAGCTAAGAGAATATGCCATCCCCTTTTCCTTATGAATCAGGGTGAAGTCTCTCTCAAGGAAGAGTGATAGGGAATGGCAAAGACTGACAAAAGAGATTAATCAGAACTGGCTTTGACAGGCACTGTGGCAACTGGACAATTAAAACAGACTTTCAAGGGGGGAAAAAAGAACTAACTTGGGAGGAGGGTAGAGAAAATAGTGCAACAATGAATGAATGAAAACTCAAAATCTCTGTAAATGTTCATTAAAATGAATAAAATTTAATTAGAAAAAAAGAAATAACTGAACATCAACTTAAAAGGGAAAATATATCTTTAAACTGTTTATTCTATGAATTTAATAAAAATGTCAAACTGTTAATCCTTTAATACATATTTTATTTCTTTGTCATGTGGCAACATTATTCTTGTTCCGGTGTGGTAAGCATGATAATAAAGGTGTCTACCATTGAGAGACTATAGAAGAATATGACCAGAAGAGATATATTAAGAGATCTGTAAATGTTTTTCTGGCAAAATTCTGTAGATCACATTAAGTGGGAAATAATATTATTTGACAATTTAAAATTTTGTGATTTTCCCCCTTGTGGTAATTATTATTAATGTGATGAGATAAACTATTATATGCTTCATACTTTGCATGTAATTTTAAATGAAAATTTCTTAGATTAGTGTGATAATAATGCTGTGTTGTAGAATAAGAACTAGTGACAGACCCCAGTGTGATCTGATATTTTTATTTTCTCTCAGTGTGTGGAAGTGTGCAATGTGCCTGTTTACTTTATTGTGGACTTTTCTTCTTTGTTAATATACTTAAGGAGGTCTGGTGCCTTAGTGGTAAGAATCTGTGTTGCAGTGTCAAAGGTACAAGGTTCAAATCTGCCAGCTGCTCTGCAGGAGAAGGATGAGCCACTCCTCCTGTGGGATTTTAGCCTCTGAAAATCTGCTGGAGGGTCAGCTATGGGTCGGTTCTGACTTAATGGTACACAACAATATTACTCAATATAACTTATTAGCTCATATGTTAGTTTGTTCTACTGGGGTAGCTTGTTTGATTCTTTGATACTGAAACAATGCCACTTGTTAGTAAAAGCCATGCCACTGATATTCCAAATATATCCAGGGTGGAAGGTTTCAGTGAAGATGTCAGACTAAAATACAGTAAAGAGAAGGCTTGATTACTTATTTCCAGGGAGGAAAAAACTTAAGCAGTGAAAATCTTTTTAACAGCAGCTGAACTTTGCCTGATATAGTGCCAAAAGATGAGCTTCCTAGGATGAAATGTTCTCAACATACAGCTGGGGAAGGGCTACCTCCCCAAAGTAGTGTCTACATTAATTGTAAGGATAGAATAATTATTTAAGGGCCTTTATTTATTGATGTCATGACTCAAAGTGAAAAATAAATAGCTACAAATATCCATTAATAACTAGAACCTGAGTAGGATGAAGGAGAGGTCTAGAAAATTAGAAATTATAAAAAGGGAAATTGAACACAAAAAGATCAATATCCTATGAATTGATGAACTGAAATGAACTGTTATTGGCCATTTTAAATCAGAAATTATATGGTATTATATATTATAATAAAAATTGAAGAAAAATGGCATTGAATATATTTAACTATCTGTCCTGAAGTTCAATGTTGACAGTGATAGAGAAATATTCATATAAATACAAGATTGTTGTATATATGCCAACATACTTGGCATTTCTCAAGCTGAAAGAATTAAAGTTTAAAAAAAGTAAGCTTCAAGTTACAAGAGTGAAGGATTGTATAGGCAAAATATTGCTTGACAGAGGGCATATCAAAAGGAGATGGAAGAAATATATAGTCATTATGCAGAAAAGGATGGGTTGATGCCTAAGCATTTCAGGCAATAAAATATAATAAAGAACCAATTACATTGAAAGAAGAGGTCTAAGTGGTACTGAAGGCATGAGAAGAAGAAGAAGGAGAAGGAGAAGGAGGAGGAGAAGGAGGAGGAGGAAGAAGAGGAGGAGGATGAGGAGAAGGAGGAGGAGGAAGAAAACAGATAAGCTCCAGGGATTGATGAAATACCGATAGAAACTGAGTGAGAGAAATACTAAAGATGCTCATTCTCTCTGCCAAGAAACTTGAAAGACAGCTACTAGGCTAACCTAATGGGAGAGATCCATATTTGTGCCTATTGTGAAGAAAGTGAGACAACAGAATGTAGAAATTATAGATAATTCATTAATATCACTTGCTAAAAAGAATTTAGAAACTGTAGCTGTATATTGGCAGAGAATTGACAGAAATTCAAGCCAGATTTTAGTTGATGTTAGATGGAACTTCACTCATAGGAGAAAACATAAAGTTGTCTGTGTTTTTTCTTCGACTATACAAAAGTTTTCACTTGTGTGTATCATAAGAAATTATGAATAACATAGGAAAGAATGAGAATTTCAGAACACTTACTTGCAGCCATACAGAACCTGTACACAGACCAAAAGGCAAAACAAGACAATGTTTCTTTCTGTTGCACAAATAGTTGCTATGAATTTGAACTAACTTGAAGGCATTTACAAACAACAATAATAAATGGTCTTTGTATTTTAATTCCTGTTACTATAATGAACAGGTCTCAAAATCATGAATTCACAGTAATAAGTGATGGCTTTTGAGTATGTATAATGAAATGTGTGCATTTGTGATAACAGTTGCAGTGGAGTCAAGATAGTTTGAAATGTTTCTTTAATTTTTTTTCCTTTCTTACTTTAGAGACATTATGCCAATTAAAGTGTTCAATGCCTTGGTATTCAACCCAAGAGAAATGCTTGTTTCTTTCACCCACATCCAGATTCTGGAATGACAGTTTAGCAGATTGTTACAGTAAAGAGTCCAGTTTGCTACTTATTCAAGACATGAAAGAACTGGTAAATAATATCTTAGTAGAATTGAACACTTTCATTAAATGATGCTAATGTGCTTGGGTTTTAGCCTAAGGTATTGTGCAAATGGAAAAGAGACCTTGAATTTAAGAAGCTCACAGTCCAATAGAGTGTTTCCAGGAATGTAAGAACTAATTGAATGGCTTTTGCTGTGAATCTGAGGGCTGGACAATAACTAAGGATGATAGAAGAAGGATCGATGCCTTTGAGTTGTGGTAGTGGAGCAGAGTGTTGAACATATCATGTATTGCCACAAGAACAAACAGGTCTATCCTGTAGAAGGTGATATCCTGAAGGAAAGGATTTTGAGGCTCTGTTTTACATACTTGGGGCATGTGACCAGAAGAGATAGTCCTTGGAGAGGGACGTCATGCTTGGAAGGGTGGAGGGACAGCACAGGATAAGAAGACCCAGAATGAGATAGACTAACTCAGTGACTGGAGCAATGGGATTAGGTCTGTCCTAGATGATGAGATTGGCTTAAGATAGGGCAAGTTTCAGAGCTAATGTATATAAGATTGCTGTTAGTCACAGGCAACTCAATGGCACATAATAACAACAACATGATGATTTAAATAATAGAAATATGGAAGTACAGATAAATATTACAAAAAAATTATTAATTCTGATGTGGATTCAGTAAAGAATCTATAAACAGAGTAATGATTGTACTGAGTCATAAGGATAAGTAAAGTAGCAACTGAAGACATAAACCAATTGAATGAATATTCCTTCATTTCTTCTATTCAATTTATAGAGACTCATACAGGGTCTAGTAAAAAAAGAAGCAGGAATTATGTATTGGATTGGATTAAATTTTACACTACCACAAAAGACCTGGAAGTGGATAAACGGCACTCCTTTAAATTCTACTGAGTGAGTATTAAATGAGCTTCCCCCCCCCCTTATTCCTCCCTTGCTCCTCCCCAGCTCAGTTTCTTTTTTTTTTTAATATTCATTCATTGTTGTACAAATTCCTTCCTTCCTCATAGCCCTCCCCCAGTCCACTTTGCAATGCATCTCTTATTCTAGACTGTTGTCATGTAAATAATGCCTAATCATATATTTTAAATAGTTCTTTCCTTCATTTGTTCCAATACAGTATTCATTATCTATTCTCTCTTTTCATAGTTTCCCCCAACTCCACATTTCAGTCCTGTTTTATAATGACTTTGTTAAGCTGCATAAAAGAGCTACTTTTAATGTTCAGTTCACACCAAGTTGATATTGTCAGGCAGTAACATTATTGTTGAAGATTTTTGTTAACATTTTGTTGAAGTGTTTTGTGTTTTGACTTATTTAGAAATTTTCTAGAAATTTATAATAATCAGAGAATTTAATGTTCACATAGTTGGTTTTGAATTTCATTCATGAAAAAAATATCAGCCATTTATAAGCATATCCATATTTTAGAGTCAACAAGACCTTGGAGAGGGTCTTTGTATTTAAAGTTGGTTCTTATTATATTTTGGATGAACATTTTTCTAAGTGGTACAGCACTCTTCTGTCAATATGCTATACTGAGGTAACCTGAGGTTGCTGTGATACTGGACTTTGTGTCGTTGAGGTGTCAAATACCATAACAGTTACCCATGGTGGACAGTGTTTGGTGGAGCTCCCAGTTGAAGACAGTTTTGGAAGCAGGAGTGGCTTCCACTTGCTAAACAATATGCTTCCAGAAACTCTATGAACTTTGCCAACTGTCAATAGTTATTGAAAGGCCTCAGGCCTTTTGTTGATTGGGTTCCTATGAGTCGTGCTCAACTCGAAGACAATCAACAACAACAACAACATATTTTAAAAGACAAGGAACAGACCAGCTTCCTTGAGGGGGTTGTTGTCATATGCCGTGGGGTTGCTTTGAAACTCATAGTGACCCTATGTACAATAGCCCTAAACCCTGCTCTATCCTGTGCCAATCTCACTGTCTTCGACACATCTACCCTCATTACTCCGTTCTGAATCAATTCATCTCATAGGGGATCTTCCTCTCCCACACTTTCCCTCCACCCTCGCAAGTGTGACATCCCTCCTTGCAACATGTCTAAAGTATGTCTGACAAAGCTTCAGAATTCTTGCCTCCAAGGAGCAGCCTGGTTTAACCCTCTCCAGGATGAACTTGTTTGTTCTCCTAGCAGTCCATGGTATATACAATACTCTTCTCCAACACCACAGCTCAAAGGCATCAATTCTCCGTCTATCATCCCTTGTCACTTTTCCCAGTATGATGTCCTTTTCCAAGTACTGTCTCCTCCTGATAACATGACCAAAGTCCATAAGCAGTTTTATGATCCTTGCCTCTAACAGGCCCTATGGTTGCACTTCCTTCTAGACAGACCAGTTTGTTGTATGGATATAAAGTACTCTTTTCCAACATCATGACTCAAAAAGCATCATTTATTTCACTGTCATCTTTGTACATTGTCCAACTTTCTGATGCATGGGAAACAAATGAAAAGATTGTACTTGGATCAGGCATACTTTAACCTTTAAATTGACCCTTTAGCAATTTGGAGATATTTTTGACACCATATTTTAACAGCATAAATAATTGTAAAAGTTATTAAATTCAGTTAAACACTTCAAAGTGATAATTTTTGTAAAGCCATTCCAGCTGTTGTCATTCCTGAGCACAAACAGCCTCATTTAGATTCCAAGCTTTGATTTTCAGATAAGAGAAAAAAAAAATGACAAACATACAACCCAGGACATATTAATTCTTTCCTGAATAGTTTTGGATAAAGTGATAGGAGTAAATAGATATTTGGTCATAAAACAGCTCTGAAAACATTGAGGCATTTGTTCAGATTAGAAAAATCATGTTCAAAAAATGAGAGGAAAATAAGAATGATGAGCAAGTTAGGGGTTATTTTCAGTTGTCCACTTAAGAGAAGTTTATGGCTTAGCTAAAGAGGTGGGCCTAGGAAGGAATCTTATTGCTGCTCAGGCCCAGAAGAAAAGTCTGTATATGAAGAAGCTGGACCTGACACCACCTACTCACAGTGTGTGTGAAATGAAAGATGTCTTGATTTTCCCCCATCCTTATAACTCATTCCTAATACTCACATTCCACTGTTTGGATTTTATCAAACATCCAGCTGCAGTGAGTCTCAAGATTCATGTGTGCTTTAAGCTAATGTTGTTATTGTTGTTGTTGTTATGTGCCATCGAGTTGCCTGCGACTCATAGTGACCCTATGTACAACAGCCCTAAACTCCGCTCTGTCCTGTGCCAATCGCACTATCTCCGACACTCCCATCCCAATTATCCCAGTCACTGAATCAATCCACCTCATAAAGGGCCTTCCTCTCCTGCGTTGTCCCTCCACCCTCCCAAGCATGATGTCCCTCTCCAAGGACCGGTCTCTCCTCACAACATGTCCAAAGTATGTTAGACAGAGCCTCAGAATCCTTGCCTCCAAGGAGCCACCCGGTTTAACCCTTTCCAGGACAAATCTGTTTGTTTTCCTAGCAGTCCATGGTATTCTCAATACTCTTCTCCAGCACCACAGCTCAAAGGCATCAATTCTCCTTCTGTCCTCCTTGGTCATTGTCCAACTCTCTGATGCATAACAAGTGATTGCGAAGACCATAGCCTGTATCAGACGCACCTTAGTCTCCAGAGAGACACCATTGCTCTTCAGTACTTTGGAGAGGTCCCTAACAGCAGACTTTCCCATGGCAATGCACCTTTTAATTTCCTGGCTGCCGGTGCCAAGACTGTTGACTACAGAGCCAAGCAAACTAAAGCTGTGTACAATCTCAATCTCTTCACCATCCATCCGGATGCTGCCAATTGGTCCAGTGGTGAGAATCTTTGTCTTCTTGACATTGAGCCTCAATCCACACTGTAGGCTGCAGTCCTTGACACTCTGCAGCAGGCGCTTCAGGTCCTCTTCAGTTTCAGCAAGTAGGGTTGTGTCATCCGCATAACACAGATTGTTGATAAATCGTCCACCAATCTTGACCCCACATTTCTCCTCCTAGAGACCAGCCTCCCGGATAATCTGTTCAATCTCACAGATTTCACATGCAAGCAAGATTTTACTGAAGATTATCCAAAAACGACTGGAACAGCACATCAACAGAGAACTACCAGAAGTCCAGGCTGGTTTCAGAAGGGGTCGTGGTACTAGAGATATTGTAGCTGATGTTAGATGGATCTTGGCTGAAAGCAGGGAATACCAGAGGAATGTCTATCTCTGTTTCATTGACTATGCAAAGGCATTTGACTGTGTAGATCATAACAAACTATGGTTGACTCTGAGAAGAATGGGAATCCCAGAACACTTGATCGTTCTAATGCGAAACTTATACTTGGACCAGGAGGCAGTCGTCAGAACAGAGCAAGGGAACACTACATGGTTCAAAATTGGGAAGGGCGTACGCCAGGGATGCATCCTATCTCCATACCTTTTCAACTTATATACAGAACAGAACAAGCTAATAGTATATAAAAAGTAATGCCCATCAACTTTTATGTTAAATAAGAGAAAGGGGAAACTGGCTAGATATCCATGCTCCTAGCCTCTTTTCTCAGCTGTAACAGAATTCTGTAGAACCTGTATACATATTGCTCTTTTTATGCTGATTATCCTTTACTGAGCACTTAATTCCTTAAGCATTGTCATAATTTTAATTACCATCTCAATGCTTTCCTAAATATTAGGAAGCCAGTCTTTTGCATAGGAAAAACAAGATAAAAAGTTTAGTCAGTGGAGTTCAGAAGTATTAAATAAAACATGTTTGTGGTAAAACAAGATATTCTGTTCCTGACTTCCAAAATCCCTCAATCTTTCTCTCTCTCTCTCTTTTTTTCTCCCCTACCCCCCCTTTTTGTGCGTATGTCTGTGTGTGGTTATAGAGGTTATTGTAAGAAGGATTCTTTTCAAGTGAAGATGAACCTGTTAATTCTAGATGTTTACATTAGCTTTGCCTTCAGAGTTCATTACATTTGTGGCTGTTCACTTAATATTTGATTTCTCATTTAGCATCCTATTGTTTACAGAAAGTTCTAGAAAATGATAGGCTGGATGAGGACAACTATGTAATAAAATCCTAAACACTTTGATTTTTTTTTCTCTTGATCCACAGATTTAAAATTTATGGCTCTGAAGATAAAACAAGCTGTGCTCTCATCTCAGGTGAAAAACTGGTTTCTGAAACCTGTGACTCAGAAAACAGATGGATCTGCCAGAAAACCTGTCAGGAATGAGTCCCAACACTTCATTAGGTTTATAAATCCCATCTGAACTTCTATACTTTCCATTGCAGATCCCCAGATTTGTAGCTGTGTATACTCTTGATACTGCTAATATATGTTTAGTTATACAAAAGAAACAAATACTGAGAATTATAAAATTGGTATGAATCTTACCAATGTGTATATACAACCTACTTATTCATTTTAGAATCAGAGGAAATGGAGACAGAGAAATATTTATGATTTTAAAAGTCAGTGTTTTTTGATAGAAAGAAATGGAATTCATTGAGGAGAACTGATTTCTTACCCTGGATTGTATTTATGACCTTCAATTGCACTTTCTATGCTTTGGCCCATCTTAGCTAAAGTTGTGGCAAATTATTTCTAAAGTCCTTTGCATCTTTTTAGTCTATAAGATGATCATGTAATGGGAAAATGATAAAACCGTGATTGAAGTTAATTTTATGGGCTTTTACATCAAAGACTTGATAACGAAAAAGTCTAAAAAAAAAAACTTTACCTATTTCCACTGTACTGAAACTCTTCTCATTGAATTATCATTACTTCTTTTTCTTCTATATCCCCTTCTTTCTGTGGGCTCACACAGAAGTAATAGATGCTACACAATTAAATCTTTTCTAACTCTGGTGGTCTAGTAGTAAGGAGCTACACTGCCAATGAAAAGACACATGTTTCTAAGCCACCAGCTGCTCCACAGGAGAAAAGTAGGCAATCTCCTCCCATGCAATTTACAGCCTCTAAATATCACTGGAGTTATGAGATGGTTCTGACTATAGCATGAAACAACAATATAAGGTAGTCTGGTTGTAAAGAGTGGTGCTATCAATCCCAACGCATGTAGTTCTAATCTACCACTTGCTTAGGAGGAGGGAAGATGAGCAGTCTAATGCTGTGTGATATATTCTCCCATTTAATTTATAGCCTTTGAAAAAATCCACTGGAGTGTCAATTATGAGACAGTTCTGACTTGAGAGTATATAACAACAACAATAATACAAAACTGGTATCAACTTACCTTTTAACTCTCTAAATGAAGTAACAGATGTAACCAAAAAGCAAATAATTATTCTGAAATAGAAGTCTTACATTAGACAAGCTAAATTTTAATGGGATATAAAATAGTACATTATAGTGGTTGCACCATTTTACACTCCCACCAACAGTGAATAAGGGTTCCAGTCTCTCCACAACCTCGCCAGCATTTGTTG